ATTGTTCTCCTTCGTTTTGTACATACCTTTTTGGGGGGCAAAGAAAAAGCAAGAATTTATTGGAACCGAAGAATGAACGTTTTGCGGTGCTGCAAATGCTTGCATTTGATGCGGTACTTGGATTGTTTTGCCACGAGTTCACGGCATGCAATGCGCGAAAGTCACGTGGTCTGTCAATCTCTATACACAGTTGCTCCCAGTTCCAACATGCAACCCGCAATAAACGAGGTAAAGTGTAAACTCAGGAGGATCAAAACAAGGATAGCAACAGATCCAGATGGCATCAGCTCTGAGGGGAATGGACATCAAGATCGTGAACGCAAATAAGTACCTGAATGTTCATCTGACCAATAAACTTGACTGGATTAACAACACAAATGCCATTTACAATGAAAAAAACTGAGCAGGCTGTATGTGCTATGGAGTCTTGGGCCATTTTTTAGTGCATGGTGAGCTTCAGAGTTGGCAAAAGTACAGACAATCTGTACTTAAGTAAAAGTACAGATACTACTGTTAAAAAATCCTAAAAAGTCGAAGTACTGATTCAACTTCTTTATTTAATTTAAAAAAAAGTACAGGCACTGAAATCTACTCAAAGTAAGAAAGTAAAAAAGTATCTCTTTGGAGGATGTCTATGCTGTCCTCGCCCTGAGTCTCTTGGTTTCACCAGCTAGACAGCGAGATAACGATGCTCCAATAACCAGACTTATTTTCCTTTTTGCGCTGATTTATTGAAGAATGGCCTCTGACCATTGTCTTCTCTTTGACCATCGTAAAACTGAAAGTACAACTGTATTAGCTAACTAACATTGTAAACTAGCTTGTTACACTCTTACTGCAAGCTAACAAGATAAAACTTTCAAATGTACAAATTATCGTACCATTTTTACACAAAACAAAAGATAATAATTATTTTATCGACACTCATACTTACAGACATATCTTGTCCAAGTCAACAACATTTTAAGGTCCATATCAGCTTAGAACAATAACATTATGGTATCACTTTCCGCCATCTTTTATTTCTTCTTCACATTCCCATTTTTTTCCTTTCCCAAAGTAACCGAACCCATATTACAAAGCAGCCACTAGAGGGAGCTCTAGGGCAGTTTATAACTATAATATCCAATTTAAGTTATAAAAGGCAGAACAATGTCTCTATTTTTATGCAATGAATCTGAAGAAAATGAAGGAAAATAAAACATATTTCCTGTTCCCTACATTGTAGAGAGTGGCTTTTCAGTAGTATACAGGCTGTTCTCTGTGTTTTTGCTCCTCTTCAGTAGCACTAGTAAGATGCTCAAGTACCGTTGTGCCAAAAAAAACAAACCAAAACACAACAACGAAAAAATGGCCCACACATTAACCCCTAACTTTGGTTTGAAAGGGTGGTATTTAGAATACAGTTACTTTGTTGAAATAAAGGGATTACACGGCAGTCTTTTCCTGTTTCATATGTTAGGCTATGCCGTCTCTGTTTTTAATTTCAAACAAAACACACATTAAGAGGCTCAAATGAGCAAGGGAGGTTGAAAAGGGAGAGTGGAAAAGTACGACTTGTCACCGACCAGAAACGGGAGCTGGAAGCATGTAAATATAATAATAACCACTGCAGCCAAAAAGAGTGCCTGACGAACCCAGTTGAAAGGAAAGCTATTAAGACTTGACTGTACACTGTGTTCCTGTTTTGCTCTGAAACAATAAATTCCGCCTTTAAATGCCTCTCTCTGTCTCTCGCTAGCAAAGTTGACCCAGACAACAAAGTAAAGCTAGTTTTTGGCTACGAGCCTGACACGGAACCCAACGTACTAGCCAAAGGTCCCTTTACTACGGTTCGGAGCTGCGGGCCTGTTTCTGTCAAACAAAGCTGTATGAAATGTTTCCAGCTGTAAGTATCATGGTTGCTAGGCAACCTGGGCAGTGCGACGGAGGCTAGACCCTCCCATTTCACAAGCCTACAAGCCTCGCACTTCCGGCCTTAGCGGTCTTTGAGAATCAGAATCAGAATCAGAATACTTTATTGGTCCCTAGGGGAAATTATTTTTCGTTACAGTGCTCCATTATAAACAAACATTAACAGAGACAGACAATACACTAACTAAGAATAGCACAATATATACAGGCATATATATACATAAAAGTCACTTATTAATAAAAAGCTGAAAAAGAACATGTGCAAGAAGGGTGTAGCTGTTGCAGTAAACAGTGTGTTAAGTGGATGAGTTGTACAGAGAGATGGCCACAGGCAGGAATGATTTCCTGTGTCGTTCAATGGTGCTTTTCGGTAATCTCAGTCTTTCACTGAACGTGCTTCTGTGACTGACCAGCATGGAGTGGGTGGGAGGTGTTATTGTTATCCAACATTGTCTTTATCTTGGACAGCACCCGCCTCTCCGACACCACCTTGAGGGAGTCCAGCTCCATACCCACAACATTACTGGCCTTACAAATCAGTTTATCGAGTTTGTTGGCATCTGCAACCTTCAGCCTGCTCCCCCAGCATGCAACAGCATGAGGATCGCACTGGCCACAACAGACTCATAGAAAATCCTGGGCATTTTCTGGCAGATGTTAAAGGACCTCAGTCGCCTCAAAAAATAGAGACGACTCTGGCCCTTCCTGTAAAGTGCTGTGGTGTTTTTAGCCCAGTCCAGTTTATTGTCAATGTGTACTCCAAGGTATTTATAGTCCTCCACAATGTCAACACTGACCCCCTGGATTGGAACAGGGGTCAAGTGTCTCCTGGTCTTCCTGAAGTCCACTATCAATTCCTTGGTCTTTGCCATGGTGTTGAAAGCACTGGAAAAGTCAAAAAACATGACCCTCACAGTGCTCGCTGGCTGGTCCAGATGGGTGTAGACACGATTTAGCAGGTAGATGATGGCGTCCTCTGTTCCGAGACGAGGCTGATATGCATATTGAAGGGGATCCAGATGTGGGCTGACAATGGGTTGCAGCTGCTCCAGGATGAGCCTTTCCAGGGTCTTCATGATGTGGGAGGTCAGTGCCACGGGCCTGTAACCCTGGGGGCCACTGAAACGTGGCGTCAATATAAACAGAAAATAAGCACTAAGAATATATATTTTACCTTAACAGTACATTTCCATATTTTTATATCTATTAGATAAAATCTGATACTTGCGAGAGTTTATTCAAGCATTACTTTCCAGAAAGGGATGTGCACAGGCTAAATCCTGAGCGGATCTGAAGCATTAGAAGCCAAAATGAGCATAACATAATCAGTCATACAGTACGTCACACATAGTCACAGATAGTTTCAATATAAACAACTCTGCAGTGTGCTCTGCCTAGTTTCACTTCCTCTCTACATCCTGTTGTTTCGCAGCGGTGCACAAAGCGTCGCTTGCAGTTTCCTGTCTTAAACAGTACTCTGTGACCTTTAGCACACATTGTAACTCAAAGTGGCGTTTTACTACACCGGCCTATATAAAACAATATAAACAGAAAATAAGCACAAAGAATATATATTTATTCCATGACATAGTTCTTATTTTCTTTAATATGATGAATAATAAGATTCCTTAGTTTTACAGAAAGCTTTGTTATAAAGCAACAAACTCTTTATGAGCTAAATAAAATTTTTAAGTAGTAAGACGACATTTGATCTCAAGTTTTAGGGTTATCTGCTATAAGCTATGCATTTCACATTTATACGAGGGAGTCAAGTACTTCTGATTTAAGACTTTTTTTTTTCACAGTATCCAGAACTATACAAAGTGAGGATGTAACACTATTAAAGAGATTATTGACTTCTGTGCGGGCTTAGGTAGCTGCTCTTTAACAAATTGTAAAATCTAAAATTGTTTCATAAAGTTGCTTTCACTCTAATATGCAAGCAACTTTATGACACAATCACACATCAAATGCTTGAGGGTCCTGCTTGAGGGTCTTTGCTATTCCTATAACTGTGCTCTTCTGGATAGAAATCTTGGATGTTGTTCCAGGGACTTGCGGTTATAAACCAAGCGGTTTGCCCAAGGAGTGGACTCAAAAGCAGACACACTGGAAAACTATTTACTGAGATTTATTGAACTCCGATAATCACAGGGTAGAGGGGATCTGGAGTAGGAAAACCTAAAGGGGACAACAAGTTGACTGGCACTGGAAAGGGGATCATGAGGGCTGGATAACGGAAGGGAAAGTGGCAACAAAGAACAGAGGAATGAAGGATCTGCAAGAAGATGGAGAAGCTGTTATTGTTATGAGGTAAGGAGCAGGTAACAGAAAGGAGTTTCCTGGTGAGTTTGTTCTTTTGACTTGTAGGTCCCAGCTCAGAGGGCTCTGAGGAGGGAAACTCAGTGGAAGTGTTGAGAGGTAGTTGAGCAGGCAGAGTATCTGGGATGCAGTGTCAGGCCGGAGGGCAGGCAAGCAGGCAGGGAAGGCAGCCAGAGATTTCCAGAGTGGAGGAAAGAAAGATATAGCTACATAGACATTTCACTATAAAAGCTACCTAAAAGTTTTGTGGAAAAATCTCCTTTCCAGATGTAATAATAAATGGAATAAAATACTTTAACTTCCTGCTAATATTAGCTCCATCCTGGCCATGAAGAGGGTGAAATGTTAGATAGATGTAGCGGGACACTTTTAACATGAACCTGGATTTCTTTCATTTTGTGCTTTTTTTTGTTTAATTGATCTAAATAGTCTGCTGAAAACAAACAAAATAAAGGTTATTGTAAGCATGTGAACATTTACAAGGGGATTTTGCGGGGATGACATCATCTTTTTGCAATATCTGATGCAATATGGACATTTCACATTCTTATGTCTAATTTGACTGGAAGAGGGAGCTATCCAATCAAAACATACTGTTCTTCCAAGCCTTAAAGTGAGAAGTTTAAATACTGCTCAGTAAAAGCAAAGGTGTTTGACTGAGCTCAGAGGTGTGAAATCTGATATAGAAGAAAATTGACCACATACTTTATCCATATTTGCTTTGCTTTTTCTTTTCTTCTTCTTCTTCAACTTCCAAACGGAATATGTCTTTACAGAATGCTTCAATCAATGTAACACACTTTATTATAGGTGGTTTTGACACACTCAGTAGACCTATTGCTGTTGGTGTGGTTATCCTAATAACATATCTTCTTGCTGTTCTTGCCAATATGATAAATATCATGTTTATTATTTCTGACAAGAGATTACATAAACCAATGTATCTTCTGATTTGCAACCTTGCTGTTGTTGATATAGTGTACACCTCCAGTTCCAGTCCAACAATGATTGGGGTTCTACTCGCAGGTGTTAATACTATATCCTATGTGGCATGTTTAATTCAAATGTGTGTTTTCAATTTGGGAACATCGATGGAGTCATTTGTTTTAGCATTTATGGCATTGGATAGATTCATTGCAATAATTTATCCTTTTCAGTATCAACGTTATTTAACAAACACACGTGTTCTTGTTCTTACATTTATCATGTGGTTCATTGCCTGGTGTTTTGCGTTTTATATGCCTGCAACAGTTGTCCCCCTCCCACACTGCAGTTCAAGGCTGAAATACAGCTTCTGTGACTTTGCTGCTGTAATAAGAACGACCTGTGTTAACCCAGAGAAATATTTCAATGAAGTTTCCATTGCAGCATTTTTTATTTTCTTTTTCACTTTCGTTTTTATTTGTCTTTCATATTGTGGAATCTTACTTTTTGTAAAACTATCTTCAAATAATGAAAAAATGAAAATGGGGAGCACTCTTGTGAGTCACTTAATTTGTGTAGTTGTTCATTACTGTCCTGCGTTTGTTCGCATTATGTTCACTAGGTTTGGTGTGGTACTAACTCTTGAGGAACGCCAAGGTTTAGTAATTGGTGCAGTCCTCGGTCCATGTCTTGTAAATCCTTTTGTGTACTGTCTTAGAACAAAAGAAATTAAACAAAAGCTCTTTAAGATTTTCAAAAAGTTTAACACATCTGACTAAAATCTTGTGAACTGAGTGTCGGTGTAAATTTTCAGAACATTATTTCACAAAATGTTTGAAACACCAACCATTCACTTTGATTCTGGCACAGAAGTGAGAATTATTCTACTTGTCGGTTTTAGACAAGATATTTTCCTAACCTTAACTTTTCAATTCACTTCATACAAAATTTAGAACTAAAGTTTTTAATTTTTTTATAATTTAGTTAAACTGTTTATGTGTCTGTGAGCAACAGTATGTTTTTTTTCCTGCTATGCTGTAAATAATCATATTTTAATGAAGAAAAACTAATCAACTTTAGTAATCATTTATTTGAACTCCCTCATATGGAAAAGATATATATAAATCTTATAAAGTTTGTATCTGTCTTGTGTGAAACTTGTATGAAAAGCATATGAGAGTGAAAACAGATATAAGATCCCTTGAAAAATTATATAATGAAACTTGTATGTTTTGGATACTTACTAAAACAATATATGAAAGTAATGAGAAAGTGGCCACTTTCATGAGTAAATCATGTAAGCCTTATATGATTTACTCATGAAAGTAAAAAAAAAAGTTTTTACTATTTCTTTTCCATATGGGTAATTCTTTTGAATGAATGGAATGAATGAATGGCTCCAACACCAGCCTAACATAATTTAGATACCTAAGCTAGTGGACTACTGTATTTTGACAGACATTTCAGTTTTGTTTGTTAAGTGATCCTATATCAAAAAGACATCAAACGATCAAAAAAAGTTGCTCTGTGTGGGCACACCTGGAAGAAATGACACAAGTAACTTGGCTTCCAGTAAAAGAAGATGCTTTTTTGTATTGGTAACATCCTCCTCTCATTCCAAATACCTTAGCACTGCTAGCAAGAACTCCTACAGCTACATGTGCAAAATTTGTAAATTACTTAAAAAATGTTTACATAAGCAGCGAGTGGCAGCTTTTGATATAAGCGACATGGGCCATTGCCCAGGGCGGCATCGTGGTGGGGGTGGCATCATGGCATTGGCAAAAAAAAAAGTTGCTCGCACCCATGCTGCCCTGACAACATGCCAGCGTATTTTGGGTATTGCATGGGCACCGAACAGTTTTCTATTGCCCATTTGAGAGGAGTAACAACGCCCTCCATTTACGAGGTGCGCCTGCTGCTTGCTACACAGGGAGGAGAGGGGCGGGATGGCGGGTCATTCTCTGGCTGGCTGGAGCAGCACCTAATAACCAGCTCGCAAAATTTAAAAAAAACCCCCCCAAAACAAACAAGCAAACTAGGGCTGTCAATGTTAACACTGTCAACACGGTTAACGCGATTAAAGTTTTTAATATAATTAATCCATCTGGAGCGCAGAATGACTCAAAATCCCTGAAACAAGGACAGGATGCCTGAAAAATAAATTGCTGTTATCAGGATAAAAACAAGCAAAGTCAAGTAGTCAAGTAAGTAATAAATGTTGTGAGCCAATTAAATTAAATTCAACCAGCCCACTGGGGTCTTCCTGGTTAAAGGTTTCATGTTCTCCCTGTGCCTGGGGGAATTCTCTATGGTACTGCAGCTTTCTCCCACAGTCAAGAAAACTTGCATGGAAAGTTAATTATTGGTTCTAAATTGGCCACAAGTATGAAAATATATATGGAGTTGTCTTTCTCTCTGTGTCAGCCACTGTGACTCGCAACCAGTCCAGGGCATTCTTTGCCCTGTTGTGGCTGGGATATGCTCCAGACTTTTAGATAAGTAGAAGGAAATGGATTGATGGGGTTGAGGCATTCTAATTGAAATCAACATGCGCATAACCAAGTTGTCTTTTATTTACCTTTGCAAAGGAGTCAAACAACAGTACAGAGTACAAAAGTAATTTACATTTAATGTCATTCTTAAGGGCCTTTCACATCAGACATGACACACATTCCAAGCACTGCATTGACCACTAGCTGGAGCAAATAGCTCAAAATTTGTGTTGCGTTGGCTGCCATGCACTCTGCATGTGCGTCATTTTTTGCGCCTGCTGCACATGCTCTAGACGCTCCCTGTCATTTCGAAACACATATCTCTCATGCGTACTTGAATGGAAATATGTAGTTTGAGTTTCATATGATGTCCTAGTACAAAGATTAAGACATTATTGTCATGGGCGGCAATGTTTTTCTTGCTGTCCTTCATGTCTTAATATAAAACTCCTGCATGGACCTCAGTACATTTTGCTGTGCATTTTATATTGTTTTGCAGCTGACAACAAGTGTGTTTAATATAACATTAATATTATTTCAGATAACAACAAAGGAGTTAATTGAACCTTTTTGATTACATAAACAGAAACCATGCATATTTTACACATATTTACATATTTCACCTTTTAGTGGTGAGTTGGATAATCATGTTACTTACTAACCTTGAAATCTCTTACTCAGATTTTTTGGCTAAATTTAAGAATGTTTTTGACAAGGGATCCATAGCAACAACAGCCTCTCACCAATTACTAAACCTCAAGCAAGGTAAGCGGAGCGTGTCCGACTTTTCAATTCATTTTTGGATACTGGTCGAAGAAACAGGTCAGGGTCAGGAAGCAATCAAAAGCACTCTTCTAAATAATGTGTGAGGATGAGCTAATTATGCGTGAACTGCCATTTTCTCTATATGCTCTCATGACTCTATGCATCCGGGCGGATGATTGCCTCCAGGCTCGCCAGCGTATGCGGGGTCGTGGTTTCTGGGAGCCGCTGGCACCTGTGGACTCACTACCAGGTGACGGAATATCCAAACCCAGACGCACACGTACCGTATTTTCACGACCATAAGACGCACTGTACTAAAAGGCGCAGTCTCAGTTATGTGTGCCATTACTGTATTTAACACACACATAAGGCGCACTGGATTATAGGGCGCATACAAGTACCGTATGCGTATTTAAAAATAAAGCGGGAGCAAACCTGAGTTCGGTACCTTACTCACATTTCTATTACCGGTAATCATCATCATCAACAACACACAAGCATACAAGTGTGCATATTTAAAAATAAAGCAGGAGCAAAACTGAGTTTGGTACTCACATTTTTATTACCAGTAATCGTCATCATCAACAACATACAAGCATACAAGTGTGCATATTTAAAAATAAAGCAGGAGCAAAACAAAGTTTGGTACTCACATCTTTATCATCAATCAAACCCATCGAAGTCCTCATCCTCTGTGTCTGAATTGAACAGCTGCGCTAAATCTCCATCAAACATGCCAAGTTCACTTTCTTCACTGTCAGAGTCACTTTCCGTGCCGTGCGGCTCCTCAGAAATGATGCCGGCTTTTGCGAAAGCTCGAACAACAGTGCCAGCAGACATGTTAGCCCAAGCATCTACAATCCATTGGCAAATTGTGGCGTAACTCGCCCGGCGCTGCCTTCCACTCTTGGTGAAACTGTGGTCTCCATCGGTCATCCATCGCTCCCAGGCCGCTCGCAGCCTTACTTTGAACGGGCGGTTCACACCGATGCCCAGCGGTTGGAGTTCCTTTGTCAGGCCTCCCGGAATGACAGCAAGCTCACAGTTCATTTGTTTCACTAGTTTTTTCACATCGGCTGTGAGATGGGCACGCATAGAGTCACAGATTAAGAGCGATGGTGATGCGTGGAAAAAACCACCTGGTCTCCTTACATACACCTCCCTCAGCCACTCTTTCATCATTTCCTCATCCATCGCTTAAAAATCACCATAGGCGGCAGTTTCTGTCCATTAGCATGGCAGCCAAGCACAACAGTGAAAGAAGACTTTTCATACCCCGTTGTGGGTATCGCTACCGTGTTGGTCCCCTTCTTCTCCACAGTGTGACTCACCGGGATGTCAAAAGTGAGCGGGACCTCGTCCATGTTTGTGATGTGGCTGGGCTGGATGTTTTTGTCGCCGATGTGTTTGCTGCAGTAGGAGCTCGTTCTTTGCTCGATGATCCACCGCTCGAGTCTTTCCTCCAACTCGGGTCACCTTATGTCCGCGGAAACTCAGCTGCGTTTTCTTGACCTGCCGGAGCTTGTTTTCTAGCTTCCTCCATTTGCCAACCATCGATTCGTTAATCTTAAATTCTCTCGCGGCTGCTCGATTTCCATGTTCCTCCGCATAGCTGATGGCCTTCAGTTTAAACTGTGCTTCATAAGCGTGTCTCTTTGCCATTTTCAAGGTTGTTAAAACAACGATGTTCCACATAATGCACATACCTGTCCTTTTATACAGGTATGTGCGATTGTCCGGTATATACGATCAACGCCCACACTTCACACTTTAGCGTTCTCATGGTGTTCTCTACTACGTCCTCCTTACAACACACAGGGCGCACTGCGCTATAGGGCGCGCCGTACTTTTTGAAGAAAATCTAAGACTTTTAAGTGCGCCTTATGGTCGTGAAAATATGGTATATGGTGATGGTGAAAAGGGAGAACAGTCCATGCAACTGGGGCGCTCACGACTCACACTTGCAGAACATCAACGCCACCTAACTACTGGTGAGGACAAGTGACAGGGTGGCTCTGTCACTTCGTGTTCACTCTCTTTCGGTAGAGTATCACTTCCTGTTCCTGCTCAAACACCGTGGTGTTTTTGAGTGGCTTATCTGCTTAGCAATTTAATTAAAAACTTTTAGATACATTCTTTTTGTCATAGCATAATCTTCACGTGCTTCATCCGAAGCACACTTTCTGTGTACTCACTACCTAATTTATAGCCAAAGTATTCACTCACTGTGTCTTTACTGTTTCGCTAGCTTAGCATAGCTTGCAGCCGAATCGCTAGCAGCATGGGCTCTTCACCTGTCCCTCCTGCACTTTCCTGCTTATTGTGTCAGATGTTTAGTTACTCCTCGGCCTCCTTTAGCAGTAGTGATACTTGTAACAAATTTAGCATATTTGCTGCTCTGGAGGCCAGGATACCTGAATTGGAGACTCGGCTTCGCACCCTTCATTCACCTGTAGCTAGCTAGGCCTCTGTAGCTGGTGCAGCCAAAGTTAGCATAATGATAATAATAATAATGGATT